GTTCTAACTTTAGAAGGAATCTTCAAATGCTTCTCTAGGTTTATGTTGCATATATTAACTCATTGTTGTTAGTGAGCTTTAGTGAACCTTATCAAATTTTGGCGTCTCTTCACTACTTAGTTACCTGTATTAGATGGGTGCTAAATCCTATTAGTACCTACCAGCAAATGGGTGCTAACCTCTTAGTACTCACCAGCAAATGGGTGCTAACCTCTTAGTACTCACCAGCAAATGAGTGCTAAATCCTTTTAGTACCCACCAGGAAATGGGTGCTAAACTATTTTAGTACTGACCAACAAATCTGTGCCAAAATCTTTTAGTACTTACCAACAGTTGTATGCCAGATCCTTTTAACCCACCAGCAGTTGGATGCCAGATCCTTTTAGGACCCACCAGCAGTTGTATGCCAGATCCTTTTAGGACCCACCAGCAGTTGTATGCCAGATCCTTTAAGGACCCACCAGCAGTTGTATGCCAAATTCTTTTAGGACCCACCAGCAGTTGTATGCCAGATCCTTTTAGGACCCACCAGCAGTTGTATGCCAGATCCTTTAAGGACCCACCAGCAGTTGTATGCCAAATTCTTTTAGGACCCACCAGCAGTTGTATGCCAGATCCTTTTAGGACCCACCAGCAGTTGTATGCCAGATCCTTTAAGGACCCACCAGCAGTTGTATGCCAAATTCTTTTAGGACCCACCAGCAGATGGATGCCAGATCCTTTTAGGACCCACCAGCATATGGATGCCAGATCCATTAAGGACCCACCTGCAGTTCTATGCCAGATCCTTTTAGGACCCACCAGCAGATGGATGCCAGATCCTTTTATAACAGACTAACAATTTGGGGTCTAACTTGTTCAGAGCCTTTGATGATGCTAATGAGAGAAGAATGGGTGGTAGACCATATGAGAAAACAAGCATCAAAAACTCCTGTTATATTTGTTGCCCAACATAAATACAGCAATGAACCTCAAGGGCTCAGAATGATGAAAAAAAAGAAGAAGAACATAAATACACTTGATTAAAATGGATTGGGAGGCTAGGCATGGAACCCGATGTGGTGTATAATGATGCAGCATGATAAATGTGAAGTACAGATGAAACATTTCTTACAGTACACATTTGAGAGCTGCTGTTAGATCTTTGTGTGGAGGTGTTATGTAGTCATTGTTTTTTATTTACAAATTGTTAACCAAATGGTTTCTTCTTTTCATTGTTAGGTAAAAAGGCAAAATTCCTGAAAAAAATTAGGGCAGAAGTTGCAAGTGTCAAGAGAAAACTAGCCTTGCCTGAGAAGAAACACGATGGTAAGAAGGCCAAAAAGAATGCTGCGATTGTGAAAGAGAATGGGAAAGATGAGGGCACACCTGTGAAGGAATCTAAAACCAAGACTGAGAAGACCACAAAAGATAATGGTATGTACAAGATAACATGAGTATGATACTGCATAGATAGATGTAAACATTGACCTTCATGTGTGTAAAAATTGACAATTTTTTTAAGGTTAGATGTAAAAATTAACTGTTTTAAACTGCCGGTATACTAGTTGACTGGTTTAAACTGCCGGTATACTAGTTGACTGTTTTAAACTGCCGGTATACTAGTTGACTGTTTTAAACTGCCGGTATACTAGTTGACTGTTTTAAACGGCTGGTATACTAGTTGACTGTTTTAAACTGCTGGTATACTAGTTGACTGTTTTAAACTGCTGGTATACTAGTTGACTGTTTTAAACTGCTGGTGTACTAGTTGACTGGTTTAAACTGCCGGTGCATTTATCCATTCTAGCTGCTGCATTCATCCATTCTAGCTGCTGCATTCATCCATTCTAGCTGCTGCATTCATCCATTCTAGCTACTGCATTGATCCATCCTAGCTACTGCATTCATCCATCCTGGCTACTGCATTCATCCATCCTGGCTACTGCATTCATCCATTCTAGCTACTGCATGCATCCATTCTAGTTACTGCATGCAGTACATCTTCCCTGGGGATTGCTGGTCTTCTGTCTGATGGTATACATGAGGAGTGATGGCACACAAGCAGGATAGATCTGGGGCACACAGACAAAATAGATAAAACATTGTACAAATGCATCATAGATAGAAGATTGCCAAAAACAGGATAGAAAGAGCATTGTATACAGACAGGATAGATCAAGCATGGCACACAAGCAGGATAGATCAAGCATGGCACGCAAGAAGGATGGACAGTACTAAATTTCTTCATGATTGGGAGGTGAAAAGAGTATGAAATCTGAACATGATACATTAGTGTCCCTCTGCCCCAGTCTGCCGGGCAGATGAGAGTGTAAATGAGTGTCTCGGGGCTCAGGTACTAGTTACTGCACTAGGTTGTGTTTCAGGGATGGGGCTCGGGTATTAGTTACTGCACTAGGTTGTGTTTCAGGGATGGGGCTGGGGTAATAGTTACTGCACTAGGTTGTGTTTCAGGGATGGGGCTGGGGTAGTAGTTACTGCACTAGGTTGTGTTTCAGGGATGGGTGTTTAGTGTGTGATTGGGTGAGGTATCTAATGATGGCACTGTTGTCTGTCACTAGGTGTTTAGTGTGTGATTGGGTGTGGTATCTAATGATGGCACTGTTGTCTGTCACTGGGTGTTTAGTGTGTGATTGGGTGAGGAATCTAATGATGGCACTGTTGTCTGTCACTGGGTGTTTAGTGTGTGATTGGGTGAGGTATCTAATGATGGCACTGTTGTCTGTCACTGGGTGTTTAGTGTATGATTGCGTGAGGTATCTAATGATGGCACTGTTGTCTGTCACTGGGTGTTTAGTGTGTGATTGGGTGAGGTATCTAATGATGGCACTGTTGTCTGTCACTGGGTGTTTAGTGTGTGATTGGGTGAGGTATCTAATGATGGCACTGTTGTCTGTCACTGGGTGTTTAGTGTGTGATTGGGTGAGGTATCTAATGATGGCACTGTTGTCTGTCACTGGGTGTTTTAGTGTATGATTGGGTGAGGTATCTAATGATGGCACTGTTGTCTGTCACTGGGTGTTTAGTGTGTGATTGGGTGAGGTATCTAATGATGGCACTGTTGTCTGTCACTGGGTGTTTAGTGTATGATTGGGTGAGGTATCTAATGATGGCACTGTTGTCTGTCACTGGGTGTTTAGTGTATGATAGGGTAAGGTATCTAATGATGGCACTGTTGTCTGTCACTGGGTGTTTAGTGTGTGATTGGGTGTGGTATCTAATGATGGCAATGTTGTCTGTCACTGGGTGTTTAGTGTGTGATTGGGTGAGGTATCTAATGATGGCACTGTTGTCTGTCACTGGGTGTTTAGTGTGTGATTGGGTGAGGTATCTAATGATGGCACTGTTGTCTGTCACTGGGTGTTTAGTGTATGATTGCGTGAGGTATCTAATGATGGCACTGTTGTCTGTCACTGGGTGTTTAGTGTGTGATTGGGTGAGGTATCTAATGATGGCACTGTTGTCTGTCACTGGGTGTTTAGTGTGTGATGGGTGAGGTATCTAATAATGGCACTGTTGTCTGTCACTGGGTGTTTAGTGTGTGATTGGGTGAGGTATCTAATGATGGCACTGTTGTCTGTCACTGGGTGTTTAGTGTATGATTGGGTGAGGTATCTAATGATGGCACTGTTGTCTGTCACTGGGTGTTTAGTGTGTGATTGGGTGAGGTATCTAATGATGGCACTGTTGTCTGTCACTGGGTGTTTTAGTGTATGATTGGGTGAGGTATCTAATGATGGCACTGTTGTCTGTCACTGGGTGTTTAGTGTATGATTGGGTAAGGTATCTAATGATGGCACTGTTGTCTGTCACTGGGTGTTTAGTGTGTGATTGGGTGAGGTATCTAATGATGGCACTGTTGTCTGTCACTGGGTGTTTAGTGTGTGATTGGGTGAGGTATCTAATGATGGCACTGTTGTCTGTCACTGGGTGTTTAGTGTATGATTGGGTGTGGTATCTAATGATGGCACTGTTGTCTGTCACTGGGTGTTTAGTGTGTGATTGGGTGAGGTATCTAATGATGGCACTGTTGTCTGTCACTGGGTGTTTAGTGTGTGATTGGGTGAGGTATCTAATGATGGCACTGTTGTCTGTCACTGGGTGTTTGGTGTATGATTGCGTGAGGTATCTAATGATGGCACTGTTGTCTGTCACTGGGTGTTTAGTGTATGATGGGTGTGGTATCTAATGATGGCACTGTTGTCTGTCACTGGGTGTTTAGTGTGTGATTGGGTGAGGTATCTAATGATGGCACTGTTGTCTGTCACTGGGTGTTTAGTGTGTGATTGGGTGAGGTATCTAATGTTGGCACTGTTGTCTGTCACTGGGTGTTTAGTGTATGATTGCGTGAGGTATCTAATGATGGCACTGTTGTCTGTCACTGGGTGTTTAGTGTGTGATTGGGTGAGGTATCTAATGATGGCACTGTTGTCTGTCACTGGGTGTTTAGTGTATGATTGGGTGAGGTATCTAATGATGGCACTGTTGTCTGTCACTGGGTGTTTAGTGTATGATTTGGTAAGGTATCTAATGATGGCACTGTTGTCTGTCACTGGGTGTTTAGTGTGTGATTGGGTGAGGTATCTAATGATGGCACTGTTGTCTGTCACTGGGTGTTTAGTGTGTGATTGGGTGAGGTATCTAATGATGGCACTGTTGTCTGTCACTGGGTGTTTAGTGTATGATTGGGTGAGGTATCTAATGATGGCACTGTTGTCTGTCACTGGGTGTTTAGTGTATGATTGGGTAAGGTATCTAATGATGGCACTGTTGTCTGTCACTGGGTGTTTAGTGTGTGATTGGGTGAGGTATCTAATGATGGTACTGTTGTCTGTCACTGGGTGTTTAGTGTGTGATTGGGTGAGGTATCTAATGATGGCACTGTTGTCTGTCACTGGGTGTTTAGTGTATGATGGGTGTGGTATCTAATGATGGCACTGTTGTCTGTCACTGGGTGTTTAGTGTGTGATTGGGTGAGGTATCTAATGATGGCACTGTTGTCTGTCACTGGGTGTTTAGTGTGTGATTGGGTGAGGTATCTAATGTTGGCACTGTTGTCTGTCACTGGGTGTTTAGTGTATGATTGCGTGAGGTATCTAATGATGGCACTGTTGTCTGTCACTGGGTGTTTAGTGTGTGATTGGGTGAGGTATGATGGCACTGTTGTCTGTCACTGGGTGTTTAGTGTGTGATTGGGTGAGGTATCTAATGATGGCACTGTTGTCTGTCACTGGGTGTTTAGTGTGTGATTGGGTGAGGTATCTAATGATGGCACTGTTGTCTGTCACTGGGTGTTTAGTGTGTGATTGGGTGAGGTATCTAATGATGGCACTGTTGTCTGTCACTGGGTGTTTAGTGTATGATTTGGTAAGGTATCTAATGATGGCACTGTTGTCTGTCACTGGGTGTTTAGTGTGTGATTGGGTGAGGTATCTAATGATGGCACTGTTGTCTGTCACTGGGTGTTTAGTGTGTGATTGGGTGAGGTATCTAATGATGGCACTGTTGTCTGTCACTGGGTGTTTAGTGTATGATTGGGTGTGGTATCTAATGATGGCACTGTTGTCTGTCACTGGGTGTTTAGTGTGTGATTGGGTGAGGTATCTAATGATGGCACTGTTGTCTGTCACTAGGTGTTTAGTGTGTGATTGGGTGAGATATCTAATGATGGCACTGTTGTCTGTCACTGGGTGTTTAGTGTATGATTGGGTGAGGTATCTAATGATGGCACTGTTGTCTGTCACTGGGTGTTTAGTGTGTGATTGGGTGAGGTATCTAATGATGGCACTGTTGTCTGTCACTGGGTGTTTAGTGTATGATTGGGTGAGGTATCTAATGATGGCACTGTTGTTTGTCACTGGGTGTTTAGTGTGTGATTGGGTGAGGTATCTAATGATGGCACTGTTGTCTGTCACTGAGTGTTTAGTGTGTGATTGGGTGAGGTATCTAATGATGGCACTGTTGTCTGTCACTGGATGTTTAGTGTGTGATTGGGTGAGGTATCTAATGATGGCACTGTTGTCTGTCACTGGGTGTTTAGTGTGTGATTGGGTGTGGTATCTAATGATGGCACTGTTGTCTGTCACTGGGTGTTTAGTGTGTGATTGGGTGAGGTATCTAATGATGGCACTGTTGTCTGTCACTGGGTGTTTAGTGTATGATTGGGTGAGGTATCTAATGATGGCACTGTTGTCTGTCACTGGGTGTTTAGTGTGTGATTGGGTGAGGTATCTAATGATGGCACTGTTGTCTGTCACATTATGTTATTATTTGAGGATTCATTTATCCTTTGCAAGTTGAAGATGTGCAGGCAAGAGGTAGGCAGTGGTGCAATTGGGAAGATATGGAAGAACTGCAGTCTCAGACTGTAACATCAAGAGATGGAAGAGTCTACAACCAGGACAAGAGACAGACTGAGTTGGAGATCCATTGAAGCCAACCTTCATGGCGGAGATGGCACCTGATTGATTGCCTGAAGTTTTGCCGTTTTTTTTTAAAAATGTTCAGCCAGCCCTTTATTGTGCTGTTTGAGATTAATTGCCTATTTTTAAATGTTCAGCCAGCCCTTTATTGTGCTGTTTGAGATTAATTGCCTATTTTTTTAAAATGTTCAGCCAGCCCTTTATTGTGCTGTTTGAGATTAATTGCCTATTTTTTTAAAATGTTCAGCCAGCCCTTTATTGTGCTGTTTGAGATTAATTGCCTATTTTTTAATGTTCAGCCAGCCCTTTATTGTGCTGTTTGAGATTAATTGCCTATTTTTTAATGTTCAGCCAGCCCTTTATTGTGCTGTTTGAGATTAATTGCCTATTTTTTAATGTTCAGCCAGCCCTTTATTGTGCTGTTTGAGATTAATTGCCTATTTTTTAATGTTCAGCCAGCCCTTTATTGTGCTGTTTGAGATTAATTGCCTATTTTTTAAATGTTCAGCCAGCCCTTTATTGTGCTGTTTGAGATTAATTGCCTATTTTTTAATGTTCAGCCAGCCCTTTATTGTGCTGTTTGAGATTAATTGCCTATTTTTTAATGTTCAGCCAACCCTTTATTGTGCTGTTTGAGATTAATTGCCTATTTTTTTAAATGTTCAGCCAGCCCTTTATTGTGCTGTTTGAGATTAATTGCCTATTTTTTAATGTTCAGCCAGCCCTTTATTGTGCTGTTTGAGATTAATTGCCTATTTTTTAATGTTCAGCCAGCCCTTTATTGTGCTGTTTGAGATTAATTGCCTATTTTTTAATGTTCAGCCAGCCCTTTATTGTGCTGTTTGAGATTAATTGCCTAGTTTTTAAATGTTTCAGCCAGCCCCTTTATTGTGCTGTTTGAGATTAATTGCCTATTTTTTAATGTTCAGCCAGCCCTTTATTGTGCTGTTTGAGATTAATTGCCTATTTTTTAATGTTCAGCCAGCCCTTTATTGTGCTGTTTGAGATTAATTGCCTATTTTTTAAATGTTCAGCCAGCCCTTTATTGTGCTGTTTGAGATTAATTGCCTATTTTTTAAATGTTCAGCCAGCCCTTTATTGTGCTGTTTGAGATTAATTGCCTATTTTTTAAATGTTCAGCCAGCCCTTTATTGTGCTGTTTGAGATTAATTGCCTATTTTTTAAATGTTCAGCCAGCCCTTTATTGTGCTGTTTGAGATTAATTGCCTATTTTTTAAAGAACACCAATGCTGTTTCCCCAGGTAGTTCCGAGGATGAGCCGGAGCTGAACCCACCCTCTCCACCCAAACCATCGAAGGGCCGCCAGAATCGCTCACCATCCAGGTCACCATTGAGGACCTCCACCCCCGCTACAGATCGGAAATCTTCTCGACGGGGTGGAAGGGGAAGAGGGCGAGGAAGAGGTGGTGGGGGCAGGGCGACAGCAACACCTTCAGATATGGCAGAGACTCCAGCTAAATCAGGTCAGTTTGCCATATTGTTGTGACTTTTTGATTTGCGCGACAATAGTTATTTTGTGTTTGTTTTCATCAGGCTTGTGTATAACTCTTTTTGGCACACATACAAGCTCTTCTCATAGTGTGTTCCATAGCTAGTCATTTAAATCTTTCAGGACAGCATTTATCCTGGAGTTTGGACTCGCATCAGTGAGTTTCTTTTTCAAACAATTAATCTAAATACTCTAAATTTTATGACCATTTTTGTGTGATGTCAAATTTCAGAGCTACCGAATTCTGGACACAACTAATCGAAACAGGGACGGTCCGATGAAACATTTCAGCCAGTTTCATCCCAACCCATATTGTCGAATAGGTGCAGCACTTGCATAAATCAATTCTGATATCAAGATTGTTATTGTCACTGTCTGGTGCAAACTATAGCTCATAACAATTCATTTTCCTGCAAAATGATATAAAAATAGTGTCTATGTTGGGAGCTGATCACTTGGCGATATTGCAAAACAGGACGGGGTCTCGATTGAGACGCCTGCAAAATTGTTATATCACACATATGAGGCCAGACTCACAATTTTGTAAACCCATAGGGTAATGCGGTCAGCATCACGCTAGCTGCTTGTACTTGCCAGGACAAGATCTCTAGTCACTGTAGGCTGTGTGGCCGAGGTCATGCAGATCTAAACCCAGGACTACTTGTCCTGGCAGGCAGACAAGCATGTAGCCACTGCACTATCATGGCTGACTGTAGACAGTACCATAACAGTGTAGCCACTGCACTATCATGGCTGACTGTAGACAGTACTGTAACAGTGTAGCCACTGCACTATCATGGCTGACTAGACAGTACTGTAACAGTGTAACCACTGCACTACTATCATGGCTGACTGTAGACAGTACTGTAACAGTGTAGCCACTGCACTATCATGGCTGACTGTAGACAGTACTGTAACAGTGTAGCCACTGCACTATCATGGCTGACTAGACAGTACTGTAACAGTGTAACCACTGCACTACTATCATGGCTGACTGTAGACAGTACTGTAACAGTGTAGCCACTGCACTATCATGGCTGACTGTAGACAGTACCGTAACAGTGTAGCCACTGCACTATCATGGCTGACTGTAGACAGTACTGTAACAGTGTAGCCACTGCACTATCATGGCTGACTGTAGACAGTACTATAACAGTGTAGCCACTGCACTATCATGGCTGACTGTAGACAGTACTGTAACAGTGTAACCACTGCACTACTATCATGGCTGACTGTAGACAGTACTGTAACAGTGTAGCTACTGCACTACTATCATGGCTGACTGTAGACAGTACCGTAACAGTGTAGCCACTGCACTACTATCATGGCTGACTGTAGACAGTACTGTAATAGTGTAGCCACTGCACTACTATCATGGCTGGCTGTAGACAGTACTGTAACAGTGTAGCCACTGCACTATCATGGCTGACTGTAGACAGTACTGTAACAGTGTAGCCACTGTAGTATCATAGCTGACTGTAGACAGTACCATAACAGTGTAGCCACTGCACTATCATGGCTGACTGTAGACAGTACTGTAACAATGTAACCACTGCACTACTATCATGGCTGACTGTAGACAGTACTGTAACAGTGTAGCCACTGTAGTATCATAGCTGACTAGCCATGACTGTATATCACACCAGCAGACAGCAGAAGTACTCAAGACTTCACCCACACGTATACTCTTAATTGTTTGTTTCATCCTCAGGAGACAAGAGCACTAAAGGTGCTGATAAAATGGAACCAAATTCTCCCCAGCTGGAGAGGACAGAATGCAAAGAAAGTGCTGGGAGGAATAATAATGCTCACACTCCTTCTCCTGCGGGAGTCAATCGTAGGACAGCAGTCTTGTTCAACAGCAAGAAGGGTCGGAGTACCCCGGTGCCTACAAAGCCCTCCTCCTCTACCTCATCGGCATCCTCCAATGCATCATCTGTGTCTAATGCCCCTGCTGCCAAGAAAACAGCAAGCAGGGGAGCTAAAACCAGACAGCAGGAGCAGCAGCAGCTGCAGGTGAAAACAGCAGAAAGTCTGGACTCTCACCCGGTCACTGATGCTCAACCTGCCAACACACGGGTCCCAGCCAGTCCTGCAGTACGCAAACGCTCATCCAGTGCTGCGGTACCACCGAGCGAACCTGCAGATTCATCTGGGCAACCGTCTCCTGCCAAAAGAGCACTGATAACTTCGACATCCAGCACAAATGAACTCCCGCCAGCCACCTCAACCCACGTGGGAGGCCCTGACATTACAGAAAGTTTTAAAGCTTATAGAGTTCGTGGCAACATTCGCAGCAGCTCGGAGTCAGACACCACTGATGAGTTAAGTAGTGGGGACGAGTCTCTGACGGAGCCTAGCTCTGACACCTCTAGCAACCATAGCCCATCCGGTAAGCACATTTCTCCTGTCCCTGGTGACAAGCTTGCTGCATAATGTTCTGTCTTCCATATAGACAATGCTACCAACTTCATTTGTTAACAGTCTTTGTCTGTTATCTAGTGCTTTGTTTTCCATTATTTTCTTTTGCAGCCCATATTATATTTGTCGGTAGTTAACAAACATATACTTTTTTTCTTTTTTATACTCCCTTGTTTGATTTCTATTTGCCATGTGACTTACTCAAAACAGCATTTGATTAATACTGCTTTTCGTCTTGGTATATACAGATACATTCTAATGCTTTTTTTTTAAAAATACACATTCTTAAATTAATATCACTATTTGCTGTGAGACTGACCCCTTGTTTTATGTGCACCATGTTGATATACCCTTCTGACTTCTTATGATAACCAACACATCATTGAGTGTTTTCAATTCACTTGTTATTGGGGAGGTTTTGTTTCTGTATAGTTTATTATTTTGTTGATGTTTGTATGTATACATTTTTGCTGTGGGTCTTTCATGATTTGCACCATGTCAGCCATCTTGTGTATGGTCTTTTCAGTAATATTATCAGTCAAATGTGAGTATTGTGGTTAAGTGTTTGCAGATAGCTCATCACTGGAGCCCCAGGTTTGCCTTGTGTGAGAGGTATCTTATTGACTGGGGGCAGATAACTCATCACTGGGGCCCCAGGTTTGCCTTGTGTAAGAGGTATCTCATTTCATTAACGGGGGGCAGATAACTCATAACTGGAGCCCCAGGTTTGCCTTGTGTGAGAGGTATCTCATTGACGGGGGGCAGATAACTCATCACTGGGGCCCCAGGTTTGCCTTGTGTGAGAGATATCTCATTGACTGGGGGCAGATAACTCATAACTGGAGCCCCAGGTCTGCCTTGTGTGAGAGGTATCTCATTGACGGGGGGCAGATAACTCATCACTGGGGCCCCAGGTTTGCCTTGTGTGAGAGATATCTCATTGACTAGGGGCAGATAACTCATAACTGGAGCCCCAGGTTTGCCTTGTGTGAGAGGTATCTCATTGACGGGGGGCAGATAGCTCATCACTGGAGCCCCAGGTTTGCCTTGTGTAAGAGGTATCTCATTGACTGGGCGCTGACATAATCAGGCAGCTCGTAGTGTGTACTCAGGCAATCAGGGGAAATAATAACCAGTGGGATGCTTCTAAATTTAGAAGAGGAAAGACTACACAAAGATGTAGTTGCCACCACTCTACCTAGGGTAGAAGTGGACAGAATCAACACAGTTGTAAGGTACATTTACATATGGGGTAGATAAGGAAAGAGTCATGAAAATCTGGGTGTCTTTAAATGACAGATTAGAGAACAAAAACTATGATGTACCTCTCGATGCAGGAGAGGAAAGATTAGATCAGATGGGGGTACCTCTTGGTGCTAAAGTAAAGTATTAAACAAGACTGGAACTTGTGAATGGTCAAGTAGAAGAGGAACAAGACTGCAGTAACTAAAGGTTAGGGTAGACCAGTAAAGACGGCAGCTCAGAAAGATGCCTGCCTGTGTGCACTGAACAGAATACAATCAGTGAATGTAAATATACAAACTCAGGCTTCATTGTTGTTGTCATCAAAACACCAATGTCAGAAATCTCTCCAGCCACTCGGTGATAATAAATACTTGAGTTAAATGCACTCCCAGTGTGTTGAATTATTCTGTCTCATTTCTTTTTATGTTTTATAGTTATCTTTTTCTGTTTCTGTATTTGTTACACAATTCAGTTTGAATGTGTGACACCGTTTTTTTTTTAAAATTTGGGGGCACAGTTGAATTTGTAACTGGTATTAATTAGTTACTGATGTGTGCATTGTGTGATGTTATTGTTTCTGTGCACCTGTGTCATTATTTTGAATTATTCATGATACGTGTGAGAATCTTCATGGTATTTGTCTCACAGAGCATGTCTGCTTGTGATTGTGTCTGCTTGTGATTGTGTCTGCTTGTGATTGTGTCTGCTTGTGATTGTGTCTGCTTGTGATTGTGTCTGCTTGTGATTGTGTCTGCTTGTGATTGTGTCTGCTTGTGATTGAATGTCGGAACAATCTAGGCAGTTACAATTATAAACATTTGTTTCATCAGCTGAGACTAGATCTTGTGTGACTGGTTGGAATCCAGGTGGGTGCGCCTCAAACACCTTGCCAAACTGTTTGTACCTGAGTTCAGTAAGATAAGAAAGAGAACTGTGGTCATCATAACTGAGTCCCAGTCAGTACTTTGGGAAATTCAGACATTAATAGTGTGGGTATGACGTGGAAATGAGGGCTTCCGTTTGGCGTGGCACCAGAGCACAGGGAAAAGGCCAGGTAGAGTATTGTTTGTGAATGATCACCTCTCACAAGAAGAAACACTTAACAACAGCCTGCTGCATCGATTAATGTAATTAGGAATCCAGTTTGTAGCTTGCAGGAAGGATCATGGTAGAGAATAAAGTACAGGCATCCGTAGCCAGGCGGCCATCAGTCTACAAACATCCACTTTAAAACTTGGATAACTCCATAAACTGTAGCATTGTTGGAGGCCTTAACTGTACAAATGCACTGCCATACATCAGATGGGGTAAAACTGGGAAACATACACACAACATTAGATATAAATATCTAGTACTGTCTCAGCAAAGTTGACATGGCTGTTGTCCACTACAAGTCTATCACTAGGACACTAATAGACATGATCTCAGCTTCATGGACTCAGCTGTGCCGGTAGGCACTGATTTAGAACTGTGTGTGCTTTCATCATGACCACCGCAGGCTTTCAGTTGGATGCCATGTGTGAAAAACTGTTTAGTAGTTTACATATTTCACACAGCAGTTGTACACTGGTCGGTATAGGGACTGCAACAGACTGTCCTTGGTATGAGGCTGTTGTGGAAGCTAATGACTTCTTTATACTGGATCTTAACTGACTTCACATGTTTGTACAAGCTGATGGGACATGTAAAGTAGACACATGTTTGTACATGTTGATGGGACATGTAAAGTAGACACATGTTTGTACATGTTGATGGGACATGTAAAGTAGACACCTGTTTGTACATGTTGATGGGACATGTAAAGTAGACACCTGTTTGTACATGCTGATGGGACATGTAAAGTAGACACATGTTTGTACATGCTGATGGAATGGAACATGTCAGGTGGACGCATGTTGACAGTGTTTTGGATGGTGAACATCTGTGTCCACCTCGTCAAGAGCAAGATTCCTGACCTGCTGACATGGAAGTCTGGTTTGGTTGACTGTGAGCTACTTGCTTCAGTAGATACAGGCTGGGAACCTCTACTGCACATACAAGGCTGAGTCTTCTCTGCCACCCTAGGCTAGAGGTGGAGAGGTCAAGACTGTCTCTATTTGCCAGACATACATCACCAGAGGTAAGACACACAGGTCAAGACTGTCTCTATTTGCCAGACATAAATCACCAGAGGTAAGACACACAGGTCAATACTGTCTGTATTTGCCAGACATACATCACCAGAAACAATTTTCCGTGGCACCTTATTGAAGAAGGGGTACGCCAGAGACAGACAGACCAGTAATGCCTCTACTTTTGAAAACCACATCATTTTATTTTCCTTTCACATTGAGTTAGAAGAAGAACAAAAAGGGCAGTCAAGAATATTCAGTTTGTAGTGCAGTTGGAGAACTTGGGTGTATGAAGTGATGTGAATCTGAACGATATCATCAGCTTAATTAAGTGATGTGAACTTGTATGATAACATTGGGTAAATGAGGTGACGTGAACTTGTATGATATCATCGGCTGAATGAAGTGACGTGAACTTGTACAATATCATCTGTTCTATTGCTCAAATGCTTGTTGTATGATACCCATTAAAACTTGTTCAACGCTGCCTGCTTCGCTCTAACACTTTTTGCTTCCTCCACTGACCTCTGCATCGTCACACAGACCGTACCCATACCACCAGCCTCAGAGAGGGTCCAGAGGGTTCGGATCTGGCCGAGAGCACTGAGGGCATCTCACCTGCCACGTCACCTATATCCTCAGGTATTAGATGTAGAAGCTTGCACTTGCAGTCTGCTTTTGGTGTCATGGGTTTGTGACTTTGCCATTATTTTACCACTTACTACTTACCCCCGCTTGATTACCAAACCTACCTCTTTTGCACACCCAAGCTTACGCTCTAACTACTAGCCTCACTCGCCTGGGATGTAAATGCATGTATCACCCCATTATATCAGCACAAGACACTGAAGTGCGTTGTCAGACATACTGCGTGAGTATCTTTTTATTTTGTTTCTGGTGTCAGATCTTCAGCCCCTAGTTGCATGCGATCCCCTAGACATTTCATCTCCCTATTACAAAGTTTAAACAGTTTAAATATTGTTACATATATATTTAAGTAAAATTAGATAAAAAGTAGATATTTATTTTTAAAAAAAGGGGTAGTGTGATAATGATTTAAAAATTATAGTATAAGATGTTATAAAGTAGTATATTTTACATTTCAAAAGATGTGCTTTGCTGAAAGAGTGCTAGTTGATTATTTTGCCAGTTACAGATTTGTCAGCATCTGTCTATGTGCCAGATATTGTTGATGGTGAAATACTTGGCAGTAGATCTCCATTGTTGAATGGTACAGGCAAACCAGACGTCAACAGTAAATCTCCACTGTTGAATGGTACAGGCAAACCAGACAACAGTAAATCTCCACTGTTGAATGGTACAGGCAAACCAGACAATAGTAAATCTCCACTGTTGAATGGTACAGGCAAATCAGACGTCAACAGTAAATCTCCACTGTTGAATGGTACAGGCAAACCAGACGTCAACAGTAGATCTCCACTGTTGAATGCTACCGACAAACCAGACGTCAACAGTAGATCTCCACTGTTAAATGGTACAGACAAACCAGACGTCAACAGTAGATCTCCAGTGTTTAATGGTACCGACAAACCAGACGTCAACAGTAGATCTCCAGTGTTTAATGGTACCGACAAACCAGACGTCAACAGTAGATCTCCACTGTTGAATGCTACTGACAAACCAGACGTCAACAGTAGCTAAGGGATCCAGGATAGACCAGTGGCGTGTCGGCAAATGATACTAGACTTATGTTTTTTCTTGACCTTTCAGCACTTTGTGGTTGATGTGGTCAACATAAGGTCAGCCGCCTTGACTTCACAGGAGACCAGAGGTACCACAAGCATATGTGACACACAATGTAATACAGTGATTTAAAGATAGCAGTGGTTGTCAGACTATCATTATGGGGACTACATTCAGACTAACAAGTACCTACGGCACACCACATCAAACACCATGGAGTCTGTTTCCATGCCAACCTTCTGTAGGCACCTGACTGTTTCCATGCCAGCCTTCTGTAGGCACCTGACTTTCCATGCCAACCTTCTGCAGGCACCTGTCTGTTTCCATGCCAACCTTCTGTAGGCACCTGACTGTTTCCATGCCAACCTTCTGTAGGCACCTGACTGTTTCCATGCCAACCTTCTGTAGGCACCTGACTGTTTCCATGCCAACCTTCTGTAGGCACCTGACTGTTTCCATGTCAACCTTCTGTAGGCACCTGTTTCCATGCCAACCTTCTGTAGGCACCTGACTGTTTCCATGCCAGCCTTCTGCAGGCACCTGACTGTTTCCATGCCAACCTTCTGTAGGCACCTGTTTCCATGCCAACCTTCTGTAGGCACCTGACTGTTTCCATGCCAGCCTTCTGTAGGCACCTGACTGTTTCCATGCCAACCTTCTGCAGGCACCTGTCTATGTTTCCATGCCAGCCTTCTGTAGGCACCTGACTGTTTCCATGCCAACCTTCTGTAGGCACCTGTTTCCATGCCAACCTTCTGTAGGCACCTGTCTATGTTTCCATGCCAGCCTTCTGTAGGCACCTGACTGTTTCCATGCCAACCTTCTGTAGGCACCTGACTGTTTCCATGCCAACCTTCTGCAGGCACCTGACTGTTTCCATGCCAACCTTCTGTAGGCACCTGTCTGTTTCCATGCCAACCTTCTGCAGGCACCTGACTGTTTCCATGCCAACCTTCTGTAGGCACCTGACTGTTTCCATGCCAACCTTCTGTAGGCACCTGACTGTTTCCATGCCAACCTTCTGTAGGCACCTGTCTATGTTTCCATGCCAGCCTTCTGTAGGCACCTGTCTATGTTTCCATGCCAACCTTCTGTAGGCACCTGTCTATGTTTCCATGCCAACCTTCTGTAGGCACCTGACTCTGCAAAGCTGAGAGAATACCTGACATGCGGACAACGATCCCGTTGCTTATATTATTTATTTTTATGGTGTCTTGGTCCAGCCGTTTGCCTGGCGTTCTGAAAGTCTTGTATTAATTTCACATCTGCAAATTGAATGGTACAGACAAACTAGACGTCAACAGTAGATCTCCAGTGTTGAATGGTACAGACAAACCAGACCTGTACCATTGCCTCTACCATTCAACACTGGAGATCTACTGTTGACGTCTGGTTTGTCTGTACCATTCACCAGTGGAGATCTACTGTTGACGTCTGGTTTGTCTGTACCATTCAACAGTGGAGATCTACTGTTGACGTCTGGTTTGCCTGTACCATTCAACACTGGAGATCTACTGTTGACGTCTGGTTTGCCTGTACCATTCAACAGTGGAGATCTACTGTTGACGTCTGGTTTGCCTGTACCATTCAATAGTGGAGATCTACTGTTGACGTCTGGTTTGCCTGTACCATTCAATCTTAGTTTGCAGATGTAGTTTTTAGAGGGTTCCCTAAGGATTGCTGTTGAAACCTGGGAGTGCTTTTCTTGATCTGTAGGTGGAATAGCTATTCTGCTGAGAAAGACTGAGTGGTTTGGGATACTCTGGTGCAGTGAAGTGTTCCTCTCAACATGTTAACTCTCCCTGTTGTGTAAGCTCTTCATGTGCATCTTCAACTCAGTCTGAAACTGGATTGCAGACCCATCCACATGTTGCTCCCTTTGACTTCTAGTGAATTCATCCATGTGTGGCAACAGATCAATGCATCTGGAGTTGATTGACCAGCTTCCTCGAAAACTTGCTGCTCGTATCTGGCCTTAGATCTTTAGTCTGCCTGTCTGAATCTGACTCCTGATGCTCTTTCATTCATCAGAAGGTCTTCATTGTGGCTGGCTTGTCTACAGCTGTTCACGTTTTCTTTTTCTGTTTATTGACTGAGCCTCTAATAGAATGAAAGTACCAGCTGGTTTATCATCCTTTTCTTGCCCACATCAAAGCATGGTGCACAAGTCTGTCAGTTGTGTGTATCTTTAAGGTTTTATCTGAAATCACACAAAACTTGTCTTACCTGTTGAGATGCCACCATTTTGGTTACATTTATCTTCCTATGGCCTGCTGGTCATACAGCTAGGCTTATACTTTCATGGGACGAAGCCGCACCTGTGGTGCATGTCTCTTGAAAACAGTTGCTGAATTGCAGTGATCTCTTTCCTGAGAGTTATGCCCTTAACATTTCTCATGTTCATTTTATGGGACAACCAGCTTGTCAGTTTAGACTCGGGATTGGCAAATGCACGACCTATTTCTCCCCTATTTTCTCTTAATCTAAGCCCTCTCAGCGTATCAGCTAAAAGGAAAAATAAACACATAAAGACTTAACTACCTGTGTAAATTTGAATGCTAACTTATGAAGTCACAATCAAACATCAGAAATCTCTCCAGTAGTCTTCCCAACCACATGTAGTAATTTAAACAACAATATCTTTTCTGCATTATATCATAAATGCGTTTCAGGTCAAGGAAAAAGACACCACCTGAACATAACTACAATTTGAAGTGGAAATTTAGAAACCTGCAGAGATGGAAGTAATGAAGTTTCTGAAACGATGCTGAATTAACCGATAGCCTTTCTCACCCAGCCTACATGATTGCTGGCTCTAGTGTAGCTGTTGTGTTGCATATGTAGAGAGGGAATCTCCTGACCACAAGCCATGTATTGCCACCGCTGATAAACGTTCACACACACATAAAGGACAACCACGTAGCTGTGTAACTTTTGTAGTTATGGCATGCTATCACACATAAACGTTTGCACATACCCACAAGGGACAACCCACGTAGCTGTGTAACTTTTGTAGTTATGGCATGCTACCACACATAAACGTTTGCACACACATAAGGGACAAGCCATGTAGCTATGTAACTTCTGTCGATTCATAAAATGAGCACACACACACTTAATGGAAAACAATGCAGTTACAAATGTCTGTAATGCACTGAAGATTAAATCTAGTGCTCTAGTTTACTCTAGGGTTTCGCTGCTGTTTGTGATCCCCAAAAAGTCAGTGCACTCCCCGTGTAGACTGTGCACCAAAACATGATATTTGTACAGTTTATCTCAGCTTTGGCACCGAAACATTGGCACTGACCCAACTGTTGTATTTATATTTGAAGGAATAGTTTGTCATTGGCATGCCCGCACGCAATATTTAACCATTGTTTTCATTTGTAGTCAGCCCACCCATCACTTTGATACTGACAAAACCTGATATTACCGAACATACCTTTTTGTAGTTTACCTAAGTGTCTGGCTGGTATACCCGTCTTCGATCAAAGGATCAAGGTGTAAAATAAACAGTTAACGATCATGAATTCAAACAGACACATTATGTATGGTAATTTTAGACAACTCTGCCTGCTTCTGGTGCAATCTCTTCTTCTTCTGCCTTTCTATCCCCCAATGGAGCATAGGCCCTCAACCAACTCACGCCAAGTCGATCTATCCTTCGCCATTGCATGGAGCTCTCCCCATGTCCTCCCAATCTTTCTAACCTCGTTCTCCAGCTCTCTTCTCCATGTGTTTTTTGGCCTTCCTTTATTCCTATGCCCCTGTAGGTTCCAATGCAAAGACATTCTAGTTATGCTGTTCTCCTGTTTTCTCAGTGTGTGCCCTATCCAACGCCAGCGTCTTTTCCTCACTTCCTGATCCACTGGAGCCTGTTTAGTTCTCTCCCAAAGTTCTACATTAGTTATTCTATCATACCATTTTATTCCCTCTAT